AAATTCACAAATACCTTTGTTATAAACATGAGATCATTAAAAAGTGATGATCCTAATTTCGAACTATGAGGAAACAACAATAAAAATAGAATTTGATCCACTCCAAGGAGCCCATTAGTGTAGCGGGCATATGAACTGTAGCCTATCTTAGATTTGCAAGCCCTGAAAGCTAATACTATGTAGAGGCACATACTAGCAACATCACTCATTATAAAGCAAAAAAAGCATGACGAATTAAAATATGAATACACACATTATATCAGAGTGACTTACCGAAGGCTCAGACTTGATTAGTCGATAGTGAACGGAAAATACGTGAGCGAATAGCTGGTCGGCCGACCCAAAAAACATTCCACAAGACTGCCATTGACAGATCAATTTTGAAAAAACGGGCGTCACTGGACTTGCAGATACAACCATCTGATAGTTTGAAATAGGAATGATATCTTCCTCAACACTAGCACAGCAATTGCCACCGTGATTTCTAACGGCGGTTGTGCAAATAGGTCTAGTGATAGGAACAACTGCCTCTGTCACAACCGAAGCTGAGACAGGTGCTGATTGTTCCTCGAGTGTTTGAAGGGGGTAAGACGTCAACGCCGTGGCTGTAATCACTGAATTGGTCGTTGTTGTAGCCAGATCAGAATGATGCCTAGAAAGTTGGCTGTTGAAATCGACAGACTCATGAATGAGCCCAGTCAATGTGGTGACTCCACATGTGGTCGCAGTTGGTATCGTGGTGGCGTTGGAACTGCTACTAGTGGCTTTTATAGTATTATTATTGAAGCTAAGATTGTTGCATTTAGTAGATAAAATATTTGTATTGAAGGTGCCAGTGGCGAATGAGTTAGTGGTGGTGATGCTAGGGAGACTAGTGGGAAGCGATGAGAGTCCTACCAACAAAGTTGTCGGAGCCAGCTGCGGCCTCACAAGATGCCCCGGGGTCTGTGGTGAAACGGACAAGGTCGTCGGAGCTTGAGATGGGGTTGAAGTGAGAGCGGAGGTAAGGGCCATAGCCATAGGAACCAGGGTTCCAGGGTTCTGGGCCACTTGAAGAAGTGTAGGCAGCTGGCCAGGCTGAAGAAGTAGGGTCTGTTGCTGGGTCGTTAGCTGATTTCCCGGCCTCAGCGGAGTCACCGCGGTTAAAAGAGAATGTCCGAGTTGACTAGCCGCAGAGGATGAAATTGAAGAAGTAAGAACCATGGCCGTTGAGGAGGCTGGTGATGCAGATGAACAGACAAAAAGAGGCCCGGGAACAGAGGAAACTGCCGAGGAAGTGGAGAGAGGGAGAGTATGAAAGCCTGTCATTTCGGTAGCTCGATTAACAACACCTAGCTGGTTTGATGGACAAACAGAGCTGCCAGAAAGTCCGGAAGCAGCTGTGACGGTGCTAGAATCGGAGGCAAGGGTAGACACTTGAGAAATAACCAATGATTGCTGGAACGGTTGAACTTGCGGAGCTTGAATATGAATACTGGCTGGCAAAAGACTCTGAATACGGGGGGGACATGAGGGACTAGAGGACAGAGTAGATGCAACAGCCATACCAGTCTGGGGAATAGTTGTAACAAAGCCACTGTTACTGCCAGAAGTAGTTTGATGTTTAGAAGAGAAAGACTGCACTGACCCTATTGATGATAAGGTGGAGGGGCTCGGCATCACAACAGTCGGATTGATGTCAGCGCAAGTGGGCACCGGAGAGGGAGCGATAGCACATTGGGAGGTCAAGGAACTCACTGGAGGAGTTTTAGATGGGTCGACCGTAGTTATCGCCGAGATACAAGGTACTTGGGCTGGCAGAATGGTGGGGAGCGCAGGTGTTCGATAATTTGAACCAGAAAGTCCAGTGGTGGAAAATACCGTAGGCGTGGCGGGTACTCGAGATCCACTGACGGGAGGAACAGGCTTTTTTGAAGCAACGGCAGTTAAGCCGTTGATGCCTTCAGTTAGAGAGCGTGGAGATGCGGTGTCTAAACCGTTCATACAGATCTCCGAGATGCTCTGCTTGGAAGAGACAGAGGTTATTTCGGGTCCGGCAAGACCATTCACTGAGGCAAAGCCGTTGTGTGGCTTTGATGACGGCCTGATAATGAAGAAAGCATCGACCATGTTTAGTGCTACATTAAAGTACAAACTTAATCAGTGATTACCCTATAACAAAGTTGTCACTTGGATATATGGTTAAGTCCCCTAAATCACTAAGCTGATGGAAAGCAATGGGTGGATGGCCTGAGGCTAAAATCCGAAAGTGTTTAGTAAATTGGCAAATATCGTTAAATTTATTTAGTACCTTTAAGAATATAAACAATGAGTGTACAATGAAGTATAAGATCTTAATTAAAGTGATAATGCTAAAACTGAGCCCATACCCGTGTATACAGATGGGTTTAATTTCTGAGCAATAAAATAGCTTTAGTAAACACCAACATCAATTATGAAAAAAAGAATCGCAGGTAGTATATACTACTTAGAGAAAAAGGATAGCAAAACAGTAAAAAATGTAAAATACTATAAAAGATGAGACACAACATAAAGCACCTTAAAGTGAATAAATATCAATTAAAA